GTGGAGTGCATCAACCAAAACCTGGCGACATCTGGAATTGTACATCAGGTCCGCAGTAGGAAGGGTGTCATGCCATTTACACATGATACTAATCATGATCAGGCCATCTCCAACCAAAACCAGAAACACGAGGAATGTACATCCGGAGGATGGTAGGAAGGAGAAATGTCACAGTAGGAAAAAACAATCAGTCAAATATATAGACAGGAATACAGCATAGTGCTACAACCAAAACCTGGTAGTATCTGGAACTGTACATTAGATCCGTGGTAGGAAGTGTGATATGCTAGTAACACCTGCAAAAGGACACAGCCTTACTCTCAACTGAGTAGTATGATTTGTCATTTAGGGAGATAGGCCTCCATGGTCCACCACCCCAGCAGCTGGGAACTGGTAAGTGTTAAGGACTGCCATACTACACTAGAAGAAAGGGAGAAAAATGCATTGGAGAGTCTGGAGGACTGCACCACCGGAGACCATAATACCTTATTTTGAAAAGCCAAGCTACCACATCGATGGAGTCAATCTGGAATTGTACATCAAGTCTGTGGTAGGAAAAGTCTCAATGCCACGGAGCATCAGAGATGGGCAGCAATCTTTTTCTGCTTTACTCATGTTAGTCCATGAGTGTATGGTAATGGAAAAATATATTTATTAAGCAAAAAATAAACCACTAGCAGTCCTACAGAACACCCTATCTCTACGGTGTGCATAACAGTTTAGTCACAAATAACAAGAAAACGCAGACACACAACCAATACCTGGCGGTAGGAAGGGCTACAACGTGACATCAAGCATGGTCACAGAATGGACAATGCGGATTTAAGAAAAAGAAAGTATACCTGGTCAGGCACCACAGAGTGGAATTTACAATACACTAGGAAAAAGGTCCCTGAAAAAGTAAGAAAAGTTTGTAAAAAAAAAACCATTTGTCACAATACCAAAATGCAAAAATTTAAATAAATAGTAAAAAGAAACTAAGTTAGTAGTATAACAGAAAATGTTGACAAATCTGCAAGTAAAAATAAGCATGTCTGTACAGTACTATTATCAATTAAGGAGTGATTAACAAGTGCAGATGTGAAGAAGGCACTGGTTACAATAAGAGTGGTGTTGTGCTCATATTGTTGGAGAGCTGCTGCATGATCATTAGCAGAAATGGGAGGTGGAAGGCTAGTGGTGTGCATTGAAAATTTGTGCCAAAAGAGGGCAGTGTTAGTCAAAAAAAGCTACTTTGTGAGGTAAGATATTGTATCAGAATTACATAGTTCTTTTAAAACAAAGAGATGTAGTGTTATAATAACATTCATCAAACAGTAGTTAAGGAAGTTAATATAAGTTAATTTACAAAATTTTTTTTTAAGTTTACTTATGTATCTAAACTGAATAACTTTTTAACATAAAAAGAAGCATTTCAACAACAATGTAATAGCAGTTTTAATTTCTTGAACTTATAAAAGTTATAATATCAAAAGTTAAAAAAGAATCTCAGATAATTCATTATTTAACTATTGATATAAAGAATTTCTACTGAATCAGTATGTAAAAGCTACATAAGTTACATTGTGTTAAACGTATGTCATGACAAATTATGTCACTTTAATCTTTGAAGTGTAATGTATTTAAAATCCTGTAACTTAGTTGTAAACTCCAATGTACTTCAGAAGAACTATCACCTTGAAACAGCTAAAACTTAACAGCTTAAACAAATTTACCAAACAATATTAATGCATAAAATAATAAAAATCTCATTTATCACTAAGTGCACCAAGACTTTAAAAAAATAATTAAATTCTACTAATTACGGTGCATTTTAAAACAAACCTGGTTGAAACAGTATTTAGGAAAACATTGCAAAATAATTTGTGTTTTATAATAGTAAAGTTTTAATCCAGGAGATTTTTGCAAATGGTTCACAATTTCATCATTTTACAATAATCAATTGTATCTTGAATTTCATTCCTAAATTAATATTGAATGTTTTGAACAAATTATCAATAGTATAATCCAAGTTCCTTTGGACTACCTCTTATTTATTTTATTAAAAGCACATGGTTTTCTTTTTCTCCAAAGTACGGACGTAATTAATTACAGGTAAAGACAAATGAATTCAACATATATAGTAAATCTAAGAATAATTAAATTTATAAAACACTTTGATTACAAGAATATGTCAATCGGTTTGGCCTTTTGTGTATTATTTGATTTGCAAGGATATAGATCAGAAACCTTAATCTGCTAATTAACAGTTTTATATCCTACTCTTCTGTCTGGTGTACAATGATATAGGCTTAAAATCCTTATCAATTTAAAATGTTACTTTCCCAGTAAACCCAACTTCACATAAACAGTTATACTCACTCTTAAGAACCTCCCTCGTGAATTTTCTTTTAAGTCAAGGTAGTATCGTCTATTTTCCTTAACCATTAATTCACTTTTTAACTTTCCATCTTCAGGTAAGTTCTCAGGATTAGGTGGACCTATTATGAAACAGAAAAAATGAGCTTCAATAACAGTAGTTACTAATAAAAAAATACCAAACTTAAATAACTGCTAGAAAAAATTAAAGCAGTTATATCTATATCTAAGAAAATATTCAGTAGAAATAAATGTCAGTTTAGTATAAATGTTAAAAAATATTCACTTTACTTGGTGGATAAAGAAACTGATAGGTCACTTTTTCATACAATATTCAATGAAGTGACTGATATGCCTTTACCTTAATGGTCTAATGCAACAGTTAATCATATTCTAAAGGTTCAGTAGATTTATTTTTGCTTGGGATAATTGGTGTTGGAAGAATTAAAAATTCAGTAACTGCTAGAGCAATATTCATTGAACAGACTGACCAAAGTTCTAAATAAATATTCAGGAAAAAGCCTGAGAGTTCACTAAATTGTGAGTGGGTAATCAATAAAAACATGGACAATTCACAAATTAATGATGGAATCAACAGCACTAAAACTTCTAAAAACTTTTACTATAAACCAAAAGTTTCAAATAAAAACATAAAAAAAGATTTTAATATTTCAAGCTTAACTAATGAAACTGAATTAAATTCATTAAAATAGAAATGACTTGTGCAAAAATTTTATGTTAAACTACAAATTCAAAATTAGCTTTGCTTTGCATTAAATTTCTTTTAAAGTTGAAGAACAATCAATTAATTTAACCAAATTAGGTTAAAATTCTTAAGCATTTATGCAAAAATTTATACAGTAAACCTGTGCACTACATAAATTCAAGTAGTATTAATTATTGTTATATCTGGAAGTTGCCACGATAACCACTGGTTGGAGACATTTTCTTAGTGCTGCCGCCACCACTGACAGATATCTGTAGCCACATTTATGACATACTTAACATGTTATTGTCATATATATATATCTAGATATGTTTCAAACATAAACACTGAATACACTTTATATTTACAGCCTATGAATGCTAAATATTCCTCACATTTGTAACATGTTTTAAAGGATAAGGAATGGAGGAACTTTCATTACCATACTAACTGCTGCTCAACAACTTGTTGAACTATGATATTCAAACTGATGTCAGTATTTACCTGTACAAGCATGCAAGCTAACAACTGTAGGAATTCAACTCAATGAACTGGTGAATTCTTTAACTCTTTCAACATGGGCTCAGTCCCTGGGAATGACTTCGAAACCATTTTGTGCTTGTTATAGTTTTAATGCTATAACTTTCAAATTAGTAAGCACATGTTAACGAAATTTGGCAGATTATTAGTAAACATTATAATGCTTTCATACACAAAATATCAATTTTTTTTTATTAAGACTTAAGGTTTGTTAAGCAATGTTTTTCTCATGCCTTTTTTTTCTTTGCACATGTTACTGTATTCAATAATATAAAACTAACCTTTTGTCTTTACAAAGTGACCTGTCTTAGCTGTGTTTTAGTAGATTAGTATTTTGTAAAAGACAGTCACATTCCCATTTTTATATCAGGTCATCAAGAAATTAATGTTTAGATAAAAAACCCAAACAAATTATATATCAAAACAAAACAATTATTAAATGAAATAGTCTCCATTCTTATCAATGATGCTTTCCCATCTTACAATCAGGTTGTTAATACTCTAATTAAAGAAATCACTTGGCTTTGAAGCAAAAAACATGTCGATGTCCTCTTTAACACCTTCCACATTTGCATACATTTTCTCATTAAGATTGTGTTGCAGCGAAAGAAAAAGTTGGTAATCTGGTGATGCCATATCTGGAGAATATGGTGGGAGGGGAAGTACTTCCCAACCCAACTCCATAATCTTGTGTTGTGTCAAACGTGCCACATGTGGATGTGCATTGTCGTGGAGAAGAACACCTTTCTGATTGATGAGTGAAGGACTTGATTTAAATGTTCCAGTTGCTGACTTCAGATCTCTGCAATGAGAGTTCACTGTGGATTGAGGAGTTCAAAATGAATCACTCCTTTGAGGTCCCACCAAATGCAAAGCATCACTTTCTGCAGATGGAGTCCAGGTTTTGGGGTTGGAAGTCATTTTTGTTTAGGACTGAGCCATTGTTTTTGGTGTTTAATATTTGTACAGAGAATTCATTTTTCACCATCGGTGACAATTCTGTCCAAAAATGGTTCACACGCATTACGCATCAGAAGAGGAAGCAACGTTCACACCTCAGAAACGATTATCATCGAAGAGTTCGAGAGGGGCCCAAACACCTTCTTTATGGAGTTTTCCCATATTCCCTAGATGTTTACGTATTGTTTCGTGAGAGACATGCAATTTCAGGACCATTTCACGAGTGTGTTACTTTGGGTTAGACTCAACAAGCGTCTTCAGAGCATCAGTATCAATTCAAACATGTCAGCCCCTGCCATTACAGTTTTTAAGGCAAAAGTCACCTGAACGAAATTTGCCGAACCATCGTTGACACTTACGAGCATTCAAAACATTTCCATGAACTCCTTTGATATTCTTTGTGGCTATAGAAGCGTTGTTTCCCTTCTTGGGGGGGGGGGGAACACAGAAAGTGTTCCAAAATGTGACATTAATTTCTTGATGACCCAATACATTATACATGTATATAGGTTATTACTATTTAGAAATAAGTTCTTAAACATATTTTTCTTAAAACAGAGAACAATAAATAAAGAAGTAAAGCAAACAATTGTCTCTTCTAGTTACGACCTTTGTACTCAGTTGCTAACTCTTAAAATTTCACACGTGGAGGATATGAAATGATATAATTTTTTAGGTTTTACATATACATTTGAAATAACCAAAAAATCATAATTTCTATATCATTTCCACAGAATTTTGCTATAATTTATCAAGCTTAGTAACTAAGCTGTATTTGGGTCTAAAAAAATATGAAATTTCGAGCAGATTAAAGACACAATCTACCTCCTTGAAAAACTTGGTTTGAAAGAATGAGATGGCATCCTAACACATGAAAATGGGTGAGAAAGCCACTAGGTAAACATTCTGAGCTTTCAATTGATTATTCATGTCATATATTGAAGTAAGTTTATATAAGGGACCATTTCCAAAACTGGAAAGAGGTGAGGTGGGCCATTGTGTTTGATTCAGTATATGAGTGATGTCTCAGCAAATAGAAAAGATATGAGGGTCTTATTTTATATTCTAGATTGTCAATATCAGTAATTTGAGTTCCTAATTCATATGAAACTATAGACTTAGTATTCTGACTTCACAAACATCTAATTTGAACCGGTGCTGCATTCAACATATTACATGACACAAAAAAAATTTGATGTTTAATTGTGTTTCTTTAATATTTACTTTAAAATTAAGAAACTGAATAATGTATAATACTAAAATTTGAATTATGATCTACAGTTTGATACCAAACTTATTGACATAAATTCATGAAATAGTAGCTCAATAAAATTTTTAATTAGAGTCAACAAATGCAATGACATGACCTTTTACCCTTGACCTGTCTGGAGAGGGTTAAGAGTGATTTACTACAACAGACAACTGTAAGATTGATCCCCATTTTTGCTAGGTTTGTTTACATCCATACTCACACATCTAGCATGATCAAGTTTAAATAATGTTGTTACATATCAAACAATCACATTACCAACACAGTAAGATAAGTTACAAATTTATTAAATCACAAAACACTTTACAAGTTTCAGAAATCAATAGTTAATAATTTAGTGGATTGCTAGAGCTTATACCCAACAAATATATCTTATGTATTTCAGTCTCACACCTCTCAACAGTCTCACTTAACTTCAGATCACAGACTTTATTTCCTTGCCATGAGATTACATACCACATGAATAACGTATTAGCATTTGTTATACATAATCATACATGAACCTAGTATACACATGAAACTGCCAGGGAAACTTGTGTCAGTTTCTTAATATAAAAACAATATGTTTAATATTTAGCACACACTAGAAGGCAAGTGAGCTAGTTTTTAAGGCAAATAAAAATACAGCCAAACTAACTGACAGAATGAAACAATATAAAACCATAACTAAAAATAAAATACAAATAAAAATACAGCAAAACTAACTGATAGAATGAAAAAATACAAAACTATAACTAAAAATAAAATAAAAATACAGCTAAACTATCTGAGAGAATGAAAAAATACAAAACTATAACTAAAATAAAACTTGCTACCTCATATTCCTACCCTTTTAGAAAAAATGAAAGAAAGTTGACAATTTTCCTCTGAATAAATTAAATACCATCTATACCAGATTTGAGCGATTAACTTAATATATCTAATTACTTACAAGCATTGATTATGTTAAGCAGTATCAATTGAAATAATTGGTTGATCAAAACTATGATTAAATCAACATCAATGTCATGTAAATAACCAACTAAGCAATATTAGAGTTTCCAGTTGTTATTGTTTTTTATTATTCCAATTATCCAAGTTATAGAAGTACTGTCATAATGATTTCTCATTATTATTTCGGATAATTCCAAGCTTGTTCAGCTTAATTGATTAGCATCATGAATCAACTAATCAAAATTAGGCTTTCTGATTATTTCAAATATCCAAGTAATTGAAATATTGCTATTATAATTTCTTGCTATCATTTTTTTAATGAAATCAAGTTTGTTCAGCTGTGGATGAGCATGACCTAAGGATAAAGGCGTTACTCCAGAATTCAATACCAAATATGCTTGCCCCTTTCAGCCACAGAAATGTTAAATTTTTTTCTATAATTTTGAATTACATCAAAGTTATCAAAACAATCTGCCACTATCCCCAATTTTGAACAGCACCCACCACAACTACAAGGCCAATCTTTTACCAAGGGATAGTGGAATTTACCATGACATTATAATGCCCTTATCTACCACAGAATTCAGCTATATTTACTAAGTTTATGTATGAGCATGTATAACAAATGCTAATTTGTCAACTCGAGTGATACATAATCTTGAGGTTTGGTAAGGAAATATGAAGCCTCAGCTTTGAAGGAAAGTGAGAGCTGA